TCTGACGCGTCTGCCTCCGCGACCCGAAAGGAGAAGCGGCGATGGAAGATGAAGATGAAGAAGATGAAGGCTGACAACGTTCAAATTCAAACACTTGCTATGTGCATTTTCTTGAAAATAATTTTCTCCAAATCATTAGTGAATTGTAAGTTCTTACGAACACTTTTTTGAGTTACCATGAGAGCAACTTTGTTTAGTCATTTTTATGCCATTGTCGATCTGTGTACATTCTTTAGAAGTTTCATCTTAGAAAAATTCCTCTCTCCAGGTGTATTAGGTATCACTAAATAGAAGTATGTCCGTAGTGCTATATAAACATTAAGTAATGAAGAAGTTAATCCGTTATTTACTATAAGGATGTAGCTATCAAATGCTTATTTTTTCATGCTGTGCTTGAATTCATGAAATTGCCAAAAAAAGTTCCTAAAGTGAAGAATTCCTGACAAAATTTAAAATCAATGCTTATGAGTAAATCTTTTGAAGCTTATCTGTTGTTATTAAAATGTCTTCGCCATTATTTATTGGAAATTTTACCAGAAAACCAAATAATGAATGAACTTATTGCGATGAGAAAGATCTTCGCATAACTTGTCTGTGATAGATGGATATCTTGCCATCTTGAACATTTTCTCGCAAGGCAACATCTTCAGCATTACCATAATTGATTCATTATGTTTTCCAGTGCTCTCGATTTTTTCGTCTCCCTATTTTCTATTTTGTTTTTTTGCTTTATTTCTAAACACTTCAAACTGATCCCGCTGCGATATCAAAAGGTTCAGAACTGATTTTGAAAGTTTTATAACTGTTTTTGCTCCATTGTTTCAATCTGAAGTGAGTTACTGACTTGAGCGAACCTCTCTAGTACGACAGCCCAGAAGTCTGCCAGAAGAACTCTATCCAACACCGATTGCCGGAGAATTTGTTTCAAAACGTGTTAGACTCTGAATTCCATATTCTGAGATTGATTTCAAAGTCTCTTGGAAACAACGTGTCGCTTTGCAGAAGGCTTTTCTAGCATGGGCCTTTTGCACATCATAATATCCTATGAATTTTTAACTACCAGTGGAAATTCCTCCTAAAAATTCCGACCCAGACACTTCATCAAGGTGTGGGAGTGGCAACGACAAAAGCGTCGAAGCACGGCGGGGCGAGTGTCCTAGCGGCTCTTCGCAAGCCGAGATGACGCAGCACCGCATCTCTGGTCGGCAAAGCATGGACGGTACAAGTGACAACCTGGACCAGCGAGTGGTAAATTAACAAGTCCAACATTCATGAATAATCGCCAGATGTGCTTGCTCTCCCACGTATATAAGCTGTTCACGAGAATCATTACTAACCGCCTCACAGGGCCACTCGATGAGCAGCAGCCGAGAGAACAATCCGGATTTCGAAGTAAATATAGCACTACGGACCAGCTCTTCATTCTAAATCAGCTGCTAGAGCTCGCTAGGGAGTATAAATTACCCTTATGTCTCCTTTTTGTCGATTACGAGAAGGCGTTGGAAAGTGTGGAATGCAACGCTGTTCTGAAAGTTGTTGTGGAAGACGGATTCGATGAAAATTATGTTGAAATACTCATTTACTTACATTCAATTCGCATACCGATCGAGAAGAGCGTAAAACAGGGCCATGCCTCGAGATGGCGTTCCGCAAAAAGAACTGGAAGAACGGTCTGAACATCAATGGTGAACAGCTGAATGATCTACGGTTCGCAGACGACAGAGTACTTATCGCAAAAGATGCCGCAAGAGCTCAGCGAACGAAGTAATGAAGTGGGTCTTAATACCAACGCATCGGAAACGAAAGTGTTGCAAGCTCTTGGCATGCCCATGGCCAATTTACAGAGAGACGGTGTGGACTTGAAAGAAGTCAACAACTTGGACCAAGAATTAAAAATGGGCCATGATCTCCTAAAGGGGATTTAACGGATGGCACAAATTCTATACCATCATCGATGTCCTCCAAGCACCAGACCGAGAAGACCGCAATTGCCTCTTCAACAGCGTAATATTGGAGGTAATGAGGCACGGATGTGAAACGTGGACACCGACAATGGCTGTGACGGAGAGAGCAATGGAACGAAGGATGCTTAGAATCTCTTCGTGACCGTATCGACAACAAAAACCTCTGTGAAATATCGGAGTGACGTGCAAGACATCGTGCGAGCCATGAGTGAGAGCAAGATCTGTTGGGCAGGCCACGTAGAGCGTCTTGATGGCAACCGATGGACCTCGCGTATTGCCGAATGGTGCCTGAAGAAAACGACAACTCGAGCGACCTCCGATGAGGTGGCGGACGTACGTAGAAGAAATGGCGAGAATGAACTGGATGCAAGCTGCTAAGGACATAATGATCTGGCGTGATTGTGCTCGGCGTATTGCAACTTCTAAGAGTCCATACTGAAGCCCGAGCAATCTTGCAAGTGGTCAATATTTTACGAAGCAGACAGCCAAAATTTTTAACGTTGCATGCAGCGTACTCGGTTTTGGCTTAATCCAAATGGGTAACGAACAAGTAAGTACGTGAACGATCGGAGGCTTTCACGCAGCCGTGTTCGCTAACCGAGGATTATTAGGAACCAAGCGATACATGAAAATCATTTTCTCACGTAACGGTGTTTTATCCCAGTCCAAAACTTGCAATCTGATCTGCAGCGTTTTGTGCAAATGTCAACTTTGTTTTGATATTTGGAGGTAACTCGCGCTCGAAAAGGAGAAACGATCATGAAAATTGGATTGAATTTTGTATTATTCGTCAATTGTCTTTCTTTATGTGTATATTAAACAATTTAAATGCCTTTCCAATTTTGATTTTGGTTAGAGCTCATCGATTTTATCGTCTCAGATGTGGAAAATGTGAACAGCAACGGCGTCAGCGGGAAACATGTGCTAATTAGATATTTGAACAAGGAATCGAACATTGCGAGGACTTATGGAAACTGATGAGAATATTTTGAAGAATTTGACCTTGCAATCGTGCTATATTTAGAGCTGAAATCAAAAACGTCCGCATGCACTGAACTCCATCTTGCATAATTACTTTCAATTGCATAACGGATCAGGTTATTAGTTTAAATACTGCCGCTCCTGGCGTACATAAATACTTGGATAACTAAGATAGCTATCACGATGATAGACTTAGACAACAATGTGATATATGTATATATTGTTATATGTATATAAGTGCTAAAACTGCTAAAAATATAGCATAATATGACGATAGCACTGTGTCGCGGATAGCACATTGTCGGTATATATGCATGCACATGAAATGAAGGTGAGTTTGCAATCCTTCTTCAAGTATAATACTGTTGAATCGCCTATTTTGGTTGCTATGCATGACACTGCAGTTATCTATTGGGGTATATGAGTCCAGAGTATTTATAAGGATCCATATGAACACAAATCAGGAACATGACTCTTCGACTTTCAGTACAAATGACTTCCGCTGATTAGATCAGCGTTGAAAGTTTTTTTTTCAAACAGTTCCGTAGTTTCGTTAATCACAATGTATCTTGTTCAGTGTGATATGTTTTTGTATATCTCTAGTGCAATTAAAACTGCAATGGCACTGATGTTCATGCAGTAAACAAGCAAATATTAATTTTCATTCATTTGACGATAGTAATAACTACATCCATATTGACATTTTAATAACTCAGCATGAGCTATTGCATCGATACCAGCTTCCGAGTATGCTCGACTGTCTCCACGGCCTGCGTGTGGTACAAAGTACCTCCAAACGATAACTCATAAACACCGTGTTTTTCGGTGGTCCGTAAATGATTCACCGCTTTTTGTAGCCATGAAGAATAAGCAACGATGTCCGAGAATATCACACTGTTGCCTAACGCTGGATCGTCCCCTTTACGATGAATGACGGCCTGCAAAACGTTCTTGCGAGCGACAGGTCCACCGGAATCGCCCTGGAAGAAGAAAGAAAATTTAGTTGTACAGCGGTGAAGTACTTCATTATGAAAGTAAAACGTCGCACATAGTCAACTTTCACGGATGGATCTTTCGGATAGCCACAGCTTTCGTATTCCGGATCAAACGTGTCTTTCACTGGGAACCTTTCACTGCATTCTTTTGAGGAGTTCGCAACGTAAACTGCTGAGCGAAGAAGCCGCTTTATTCGGCCATCGACGGCTGAAAACAATGACGAGACTTAGTTGAAACGAAGTGTACTCCTATGAAATGAGGGCGGTTGCTTACACAGAGAAATCGACCATCCTATTTTTAACTGTCATTGTGATATAATTTTTATAGCTCATTTATAATCAACTCGTGTAGCTTTTTTCTGACATTATTCGCTGTCTGTCGCGATAGCGTTCATTAACCCCGAGTCAGTGACCACGGTCAGCGTTTCCACAGGTGAGACAACCGCCTAAATTTACGTTGGCTTAACATAAATTCCTTAGCTTCATTGCATAATCTGTATCGCCTTTCTAGAAAACAGGATAATCAAAATATCACGTTGCCATGATATTATCAGACTCATAGATATGTTTTCTTAAACACCGTCTGAAGGTTTTAGGCGTATTCGGTCACCTCCGTTAGAAATTAATAAAATTTTCTAGAATAACGAGTGTTTAATGAATATCCGATGGTTATCTACTTCGTTCAGGTCGTCTAAATACCACCTCCCCTCTACTGGTGGAAATACCTCTCCCATTTGAAGCAAATACTTGATAGGGCGAAAAAGAGTGAAACGTAATCTCTACAGACGTTACCATTGCCATTAGGGTCTTTCATGAACCCTGAAACTCATTACATAGATGGCTATGGCGAAATAGTGTTAGTGTTTCAGAGATCAAACATTTAAACATATTCCGAAGACATTTGTACAAATCGATCTGATCTAAAGGTTTGCGTATCTTTAAACATGGCAACATCAGAGTCCCTGTGAGCACTAACTATTAATTATGTTTGAAACGGTCTTTTCTTAAAACAGTTCAAGTTACTTCTTTGACACGTTTGAAATATGGGCATAACTTCGAAATACACGTTTACTTACAAAGAAAAGGAAAAGTTATACCAACGGATATTTTTGATACGATGGACACTTTGCATACATACTTTTAGCTGGCCCATAGCCTGTTATTTCGAACTCATCTCCGGCTGTCAAACGGTCTGATTTCTTCGGCATGCATAGTGGGATGACTTCTTCAGGCAGATCCTCCTCGTCAAATTTCAAAACGGCAATGTCACTTCCTTTGTACGGACCGAATGGTTTACGTTTCTTCAAAATAATCGAACGGAAGTCAGAGATGAAATGATTTTCATCTGGATCCGTAATATCCCACACGTCAAGGTATATTTTCACTTGTTTTATTCTAAAGAATTAGAAACTCTGCGCAAAACAATTTTAAATGGTAGCGTTATTTAGGACAAAAAATTCTTTGACATCCTCTTCTCTTCTGCAACTCGAAAACCAACCCTAGATTACAATAACTTCCCTAGTCTTCTCGAGTAACTACCGTTTTAGAGATTTGCTTAGCAATTTCTAACGTAGCTATAATGCATAAGACAAGCAAACCACTACATATATGCCTGGAGGGGAATAAAACCGAAAGTTAAGAAATAATATAACAAGTATGCGTGATCATATTATAAACTACAGCCAAAAATAAAAAACACGTGAAGCCAAAGAATCTGAAGGAGTATGAGACAACGAAAGAAACAAGAGCTTAGTTTGCAGTAAACAGTTTCTGCTCTTGAGTTCAGCCACCTGTGCATTCTCTTTTGCCATTTTGGGATAGCACACATGCGAATTTAACACTTAGGCGATATATTTTGT